CCCCAAAACCCCAAAACCCCAAAACCCCAATCTCTATCCTCCATTGCCCCAATTAAACTATAAAGAAGGAAGTGAAAAGTGGTTGTAGGTGATTTCGAGGGTCCTTTCTGACTTTTTGAGGAGTTTTTTGGAGGGTTTTCCGAATTCAGGGCAGTCTTCGAGGTCGAAGGTGTGTGCTTTGGGGGTTACTTGGATTTTGAAGATATCGCTAAAGGCACTGTTACGAATGAACAAGTTATCCGGAAGTTTAGAGTCAAGGATTTTCTGGTCTTCAAATACACTTGATTTCAACAGGTATTTTATATTCATGATATAAGAAGGAGTTGTACTTTCAAATATATCCTTAGCTTTAAGCAGGTGCTCAACTCCTTCTTTATATTTATCGTAAGCTGCCTTTTCTCTATTGACAAATTTTTTCATGAAATTAAATTGCTTTTTATTTGGATTTAGTGACGACACAACTTCATCAATTGGAGTAATATTGTTATTTTCCTTAAATTCCGGTACCTGATATTTGGACAATTTTGACAATTTAGAATATAATCTTTTAGAGGAGATTGTTCAAAGTATCCCCAGTATTTACTATTTTAAACCAGGAAAAGGATGGCATATCAATGCTTCAAATGTAGCGTCAAGGAATGCCCTATGTGTTTTAATATCTTCTGATGTAGTTCTCTCAAATTCTTCTAAAAGAGTAGTCTTATATTTTTGCTTTGGCTGCATTGTTTCTCCATCAATGAACTTATCGCAGAAGCTATCTTTCTGCTTCTGATATTGCTCAATAAATGAAACTGGTTCTTTACCCATAATCTCAAGTTTATCAGTCCTGTAAGAAATCAACAAGTTTTGAAGTCTAAAGTTTTCCTTCTCCAGCTGAGTCACCTTCATCTCCAGTTTCTGGACATAGTGTTTCCTTCTATCCCTGGCTTTCTTAGACCTCTTCCTGCCACTTTCCTTCCTAATAATTTCTTTATCTGGCTGCTTCAACGACAACTCCTTGTCTGTTGCCTCGAACATGGAATCACCTTTGCTAGATTGTTCATTATAGCTCGTATTTTCTCTTTTGGTAGTCATATCCTGGCTTTTGAGGTTCCAAGAGTCTACCAATATCTCTGAACTTGTGTGGGCTTTTTCCATATTAATTATTTTCAATACAAATTTGATAAACTGGGGTTTTGGGGTTTTGGGGTTTTGGGG